ATTCATATAAGATAGCATCATTTTTGTCGAGGATAATTTTCTTTTGAAATTCATACTAGAATTTTCATCATAGAGGATAATGATATTAGGAAAAATAGCAAAATTCTATTAAAACATNACATCTTAAACATTATTTAATTAGGTTACTAATAACAATGTTTATTCTTAAATTATTATTTATAAAAAGAAAATTGAACCGTCAATGAATCTAGTGTTCAAGTTTCTGAAGTCCATTAATTGCTTATTTTCTGGGAGGAATCAGTGATGGAGTGTGTAAAGTCGTTATTTTACCCGTGAAGAAAATAAGTTTGATCTAAAATATTTAGATTTTAATCGCATTTCTTCAAATTTGTGGAAAGAAGCGAAAATACAATTTTGATTATTATTTTAAAAATTGATGAGCGTATGAATCCTCGCGTTTTGTTATGCAAAAATAACACAGATGTTTTGCATAAACCTAAGTGCTAACAATAACTTTAGGGATTTCCTTCTATCAACTGTCTGTCTGATCTAGATAGTAAAAATAATGCATCACCAGTACACCAGTTATTTTCAGAAGAAAAAAAAGGCCGGATAGACAGCTTTTTCCGATAATACGCAAGTCTAGATGCAGTGGACGATATCTATCAGAGAGGGATTATTCCCTCACAAAAAAGTAAAATGGTAGTAAATTAAACGGGTAATTTCGGAAAAGGAAAAGATTTACAAGGAAAAGGCATGCATTTAGTTTCTTCATTGAATGTCATGAATTATTAATTAAAATGTTTCAAAAATTCATAATTATCTCCATAATCGTAATATTTCCTGAAATTAAACTTTGCACTAAACAAAGATTTTACTTTGACATATTAAAAGCTAAACAGCTAACGAAGAGGATTGCATCATTCATTGCTAATTAATTACAATAATTGTTGCTCGATTGACATACTATTACTAAAGTAAATATTAAGCAATAAGGAGTCTAAAAGTGCTCTCTGGAGCATTTATTCCAGTGTCTTAAACACATTTGAATGAAATTGTAAATATCGTCCATTAATACGTCGAATTTTATAAATACATTCAACACGGATTTATTCTACTAAAATTCATCAGTCATAAAATAAGACATATTATGATTTTTTTACGAATTAAATAAAAATAATAAAATCTATTAAATCGGATCGAAAAAGAAAAAAATGATATACGAGAATGACAAATGCATCGATTCAAAATTCATTTTGCACAAAACTAGTGTACGTGTATTACGAGGCTATAAAAATTTAACCTGTGTATCTAACTACACTCAATTTGAAGTCGAAGATCGAGTAAGACCAAATATACTTGATAAGAATTTAAGGAAGTTGAAATTACATTGTATTTCTAAGAAAAACTTGATAATGTACGACTTCATGTCAAAATAACTTTGTATCTAATTCGATCGTAAACGTCTCCCTCAAGAAATTACCAAATTTATGCGGAATGAATACACTGTAGGGATTATTCTACAATGATTTACAAATTAAGGACAACTATTTTAGTTTATTAAAAGTTAATATATACTAATGAATAATATTTTTCTTTCTTTCTGCGATATTGAATATTCAACCAATGGAATACTGATCTTAAACTTTAGAAATCAGATAGACCAGAATCAATATTTCTCGATAATAAAATGTTATGAATTTCTCAAATATTCCTTGTTGAAGAGTTTAATTAAAAGCGAGATTTTCTAAATAATCCATTTATTTTTATATAAAATGTATTTTTAAAATTTGAAGACTACAATTAATATCGAAACTAGTAATTTTTAATGAAAACTCATTGAGGTGAGGATCCTTCTAAACTCAATAGAATCTTAAAAGAATTCTCATTGAAAATTTATTTTTAAAAATCTCCCATAAAAATTCTGTGATACGTGGTAAAGTTTCGATCGAATTCGCGACCTTTAGAAACATGTGGTCTTTCAGACATGCTCCTTAGCCAATAATAAATCACTTAAGAACATCAGTAAAAAGAAAAAATAAACATCGTTTGTATCTTGTGCCCGAAATTCTCACCATTTTACAGAGTGGTAAAAGATATCGAATCGTTGCAACGGCCAATTTCTTTTTTCTAACTTATCATTTTCCACACTTCAAACGCGCGAAGTTTAAGAGAAAAAATGATTTAAGATAAATTTGGATAAGTTTAAAAAGATTTTCTATATTTATTTTAGTACACTAGGCACGAAAGCCACAATATAAGTGCTTATCCATTAAAAACATCTTTTTTTCCACGTTATCCAAGAATGCCAACTTCTAGAAACTTGGATGAATCTACTGCGGCAACTTTTTTCAGATGAGGTGTCACAAAAATCTCATTTTGTTATTATTCATCGTCTTTTATTTTAAACCGCAAAAAGGATATTCTTAGCATTTTGCCCTACTTTAACTCCGTTTCTTCGTAACTTAAGATTTGATACTCAATAACTTTCTAGCATTCTCTTGATATATATCATTATAAAATAATTATTTACGTACTTTGTTAAAGAGCATAACGTATCTTTTAATAGAGACCATTTAGATAAGAAAAAAAAATTTTTTTTTGTCAAAACTGAACGAAGGCTTGAGTGATTCCTTTAAAGAGATTGATCTAGTCGAAATTTGTTTACAGCTTATTTAACACGCTTGACGAGAACTGAATTGGCATTACTTCTAAATAGAAAGATTTATATCTCTCGTTATGAAATCGTCAAATAATCTGAAAAAAAAAACCAGTTACATTCCATAACAATCATTGAAAACAGCAATTATTTTTCAGTCTTATTCTTTATTAAACGTTTATTGGCCTAGATTTTCATTCGTTGAACGAAAAATTTGGATCAACAAGTATATCTACAATTCAGTGTAAGCATCGACAATGTTCAAAAGTCCTTGAAAAGCTTAAAGTTTAATAACTTAACTTCGTATACTGTATAATATTTTTTAAATATATTATTAAATTTATAATAAACACCAACCAGAAGCTTAGTCAATGAAGCTTTTTATGTGACGTAGGTTTATTAATAACCTGTACAGTACATAGCCATCAACATACGTGATGGACTCTTCAAGATAATTTTCGAACTCCGAATTCATCAGCTGTTGCTCAATCACCGCATGGATTTCATTTGTAATCCATCCATAAAACAAAATTTTGACAACTTTTGATGTGATCCCATAAAAAGTTCAATAGGTTTAAATTAGGATCGAGATGGCCAAGCAAAAGCATCTTCTCTACCAATCGATTTTTCTGGAAATCATTAAAATAATAATGGTAAAAAACTTCGTTATTTAAGATTTCAAATTATGTTTATTGTAAGTTTATTAACTTAAGATGTATACAGGAAAGTTTAAAGCTACACGAGGACTTTTGAAACATCCTGTTTATATACAGAATGTTTTTCTGCGATTAATAAACTGCTTTTGTAATAGAATTTAAGCGAAGTAACGCATTATTAACATTATAGTTCGAATAAGCTTCTCGATATGAATTACGAAATAAGAGTTATAAATAGACAAAACAGGTTTCTTTTTACACCAGGAAATATTTCAGTTATATAAAAGAATACATTAAGCTATTGTTCGTATTGCTAATTTATATATTTTATATAAAACTGGTGTTTTATTTTACATCTTGCACTTGGTTAGACCCAATAATTTGGATCTAAACAAGTGTAAGATGTAAAATAGAACACACCAGTACATCTCAATGAGATGGCATTTAAGAAGTAACGTGATGCGAATCGCCTGGCGTAGCCGCGATTATTCGTAATAATAATAAATTACTCACGGCCGAAATAAATAAATTTCAGTCTAAGCTTACAAATTACTCGAAGTTCTCAAAATTCCTAAAAGTCAAACAAATTAAATCCGTTATTTCTAAAAACACAAGTGAAACTATCATTGCAGTGATTCGTCAACATCTTCGAATTAGGTCGCAACTTGTAATATTTAAAGTAAAACAAACAATAAAAAAACCAAGTGGAAGGGTCTTAAATAATCTTTTCCATCTTCTTAGTAAGTCAAGAGTTATAACTGCTCTATTTCTTCAGGGAATTTTGGATCATTTCCAAAAGTAACCGAACTCTCATTATAACAAATTTGTCCTTTTCTTATGGCGGATAAACACAAAATTCGAAAGGAATTTAGTTGGATAGTGTCTTCTTGATCTTTCAGTCGAAAATCGAATGCAAATAAAGACATTTCAGCGATTCAAGGTGAAGAATGATATTCAAGTAACGATTTACATACAACTTTTGATACTTTTACACTTCGTTTGTACTTGTCGTATAAATCTGTATACAGTTATTATTTTACTGTCTAATTATAAAAAGTTGATATAATGATATTTTATGCATTATAATAAAATTACTGTCGGTTAGCATATATAAGCATATCATCAAATACAGAAACATTACATATTCGTAAATAACTCTTACAATAAAAATGGTAATGCTTTTCTGTGATGATGGTTATGATCTACATCGTCTTTTATGAAAATTTCATACACGAGAATACAATTTAATGTAGCTATATTATCTTTATGTATTTTTATTATTATATACAGTATAATAAAATTTCTGTAGAGATAATTAAGTTTAGTCTGAGAATTTCTTTATCACAATTATTCACGAATCGAAGTTAACGCAGAAAATAATTTCACAATAGTATAAGATATTAATTTTTCTTGAAATTTATATTCATTTTAGAAAAGTTCACTGAAGTGTCATTGAAGGAAATACTTGCCTAAGGTCATTAGTGACGATTTATCGCCAAATCTCTATTTTTGTTTTCTGCCAATCGCCTCTAGTTATCGATCGTGTAATGCTAATTGACTAGTTTCCATCGATTAAATTTTTTAACAAGTGTCGTATACGTGACTCGGTTATCAATCGTCTGCAACCGATAAATTAAAATGTTTGACCTTCTGCCACTTAATTAAACGCAAAAATAACCTTTAACGAGTCTCATTGCAAATATTAATTTTTTTCGTTTTTACAGGTTTACCAAACGATCTGAAGGTATTTTGGCAACAGTATCCTTGGACTTTTGGCGATGTAATCTGCAGACTACGAGCTTACGTAGCTGAAATGACGAGCAATGCTTCGGTTCTAACCATCGTTGCCTTTACTACGGAGAGATACATAGCCATTTGCCATCCACTGCTCGTCCATAAGTTTTCGACATTAACGAGAGCAATCAAGATCATCAGCACTGTCTGGGTATTGGCCTGCGCCAGCGCTATTCCCTTCGCCGTATACACTCGAATTAATTACCTCGATTACCCGGCCGATTCGGGTATTTTAGCCGAAGAATCTGGAATCTGTACTTTACCCATGGATAATAATGATGTGACTTTTCCACTTTTGCACTTCTCCACTATCGTGTTCTTTTGCCTTCCCATGACGGTCATCATTATTCTATACATCAAAATCGGTTTGAAACTGAGATTTTCCAAATTTAGCGGAATGTTAGCTGATGAATCTAAATATTCGCCTTCTTCTGGTAGCAGCAACAGACAAAATCATTTGAGGAAGTCTGTGCATAAAATGCTAGGTAAGAGAGCTTTAACATCTATGCGAAGATGTATGTGTTGTTGAATGTTGGAGTATTTCCGGTAAATACAAACATATCTTTACAGTATAAAACAGAAAAATTAAATATGCGTGCTTTTGATATCGGGAAATTAACGCGTTCTTCTATTTATTACAATCAGATTGGCATAAACTATGCAAGTCACACAACTCTACATATGATGTGCGTGTTTGTATGTTTTATAATGCTTTATAATGATACGATCTTCCTTTACAGCTACAAATTATATGAAGTACACGCTTTGTTTATACAAGTATAATTGCATTACATCACACGTTTATTACAAGGAAACACGTTAAAAACAATTCGTTGAATCTAATCTGATCAAAATTTATGCAACACATTGGAAAAATATTTGTCTATTCGACGAACTGTTTAGCAATCCTTGCGCGTGTTTATTTTTCTATTTATCATTTAACATGGCAACACACAAATTTGTTCAATAAAAATTACATAACCCCACTAATTGTAATTCTCTGATCCGTTTGGATAAATGTTAAAATTTTACGTGTGAGATAAATTTGCCATTGTGCCCACACTCTATAATAATACAGATTGATCGTAAAAGGAATAAGTACTAACTTAATCAGCATATTTTATGTCTATATGAATACACATTAACTAACTTATAAATATGAAAGAGATGAGAAAATAACTTCACTACATCATTTATCGATCACGTTCTTGCAATGAACTTAAAATATTATTGATTTATTCGAATATATAATTAGCTTTGTCCTAATGAATTTTAAGTATTATTTTAAAGAACTACGAACATTAGAAATTAGCCGAGAAATCGTTATTTTAATTTGCTATTTTATCTTCGTGAATTACTTCAGGAAAACTTTAACAATAATTCGTCTTAAAACTAGTGAAATTATAAACGAGTGACTCGAAATGTCTAGTCTATCCCGTTTTAATATACCAGAAGCACATCATTATAAGGTAACTGCGGTAATTATAAGCATGACACATGCCATATTGTCTTCTCCGTGATTAACATTTAACAAAATGTCTACAACACAGATGAAGTATCATTTACTTACATCAATATTTCAATCTATAAAAGTAAAATTTGACCTCTCCGTAAACCAAAACTGTTTACCAAAACATACTTAAATACATTAAAGAGTAAAGTAATCTAAGAGGAAAATTAATTATCTAGCATAATTAACTTGGTTTATTATTTCAGTTGCGGTAGTTATCGCTTTCTTCGTCTGTTGGGCACCTTTCCACGCTCAACGCCTACTAACAGCCAATGTAGTCAGTCACGAAGACTGGACGGCACAACTAAGACGACTCAATGAAGTCCTTTATTACAGTGCAGGTGATTATTAACAGTATTACATTATTTAACGCGTTAAACAGTAACTTAATGCACTCGATTCTTCATTGTAAATGTCGGTAATTTAGACAAAAAGTGGTTGAATTAAACTCTTACCTATTCATTAATTTTTACGGTTAGTCAACTGTAGCATATTTTAAGTAGGCTCTCAAAAAAATTTTTTTTAGTAATGGAGCAAGGGATAAAAGTATTTTTATCGGTAGAGAAAAGATAGCGAATGAAGTAGTTTATCCTTTTATTGTAACTATCGATTGATGATAGAGAAAAGTTAAGAACGGAAGCGTTGGATGAGTTTAATTTTTTTTTCTTTTTCCAGGATGTTTCTATTATTTCAGTGCAACAATTAATCCGATCCTTTATTCTTTACTCTCTGCTAAATATCGAGGAGCTTTTCGAGAAACGCTATGCTCGTTTACGGCTAGAAATGAAGCAAAATCGTCACAATTCGGTCGATATCCCACTCGACATAGTAACAGTTACGCTTGCAACAACGAAAAACACTACTCCATACGAGAAGTTTCTAATGAAGAGCGTGGAAAAGATGAAAACAAACACGTCAGTCGACCAGATAAAGACAAGCTTAATGGATTTATTCCGAATACTTTACACGATTTCAGAGAAACACCAGTCTGATTTGGAGTAAAAACCAGGGGGGAAAAAATGGAAACTTCTGAATATATATAACGCTGGCGGAACTAAGCGGAATGAATGATTTTCAGAATGTTTAATAACGGAAATATAGTGAAAATAACAACTGCAGATGTAAAGCGAATACCGGAAATAAACAGTTAATTAAATAAAGAATGCAAAGTCCGAGAAGAATAGTAAAAATTGAGAATTTAGATTGAAAAGTAGAAGAATGTGTTAATTATTTCTCCTCTTATCGACAAAGAGTCTGTAGATAAGGAACAGAAAAGAAAAAACAATGAGATGAAGAAGATAACGAGTAAAAGTTCAGGTCAAAAAATAAAAACGAAAGTACCTCAACGTAGTTGTCGTTAGAGAGTACAGGAAGATCTTGTAGATATTGGACAATTGTATAGAAAAACAGATGATAAGAGTTAATGACATTTACGGAATATTTAAAAACAAATGCTAATTGTACATTAAAGAACACAAATTCCCCTGCATAAATTGCCTTTAATCAGAGGGATAACATGCACAAATTTTATAAGAAAAAAAATTAAATCTAAGTCATAACAAGAATTTCATGTTATGATTCTTTTCAAAAACCATTTGTCTGTATCTGTATCTGTAGAAATGTTGTCATTAGAATATATAGCGTACAATTTAATTTGAGATTCTAGTCACGTAAACATTCAAAGGTGCCAGGATATTCTGAGATGATGAACATGGCATTATACACCCTTGAATTGAAAAGATAAATTTTTTGGAATTTTTTTTGCTAAAATAATTATTTAAATAATTTGCGTTTGGGTAGAACTTAATTATAATAATCTGGGCTAAATAAATGCCATGTCATCACACTCATTATATAAAGTAAAAAAAAAAAAAAA